TGTATTTTCAGTTCAGGAGCAGGCAGATATATTTCATTTTACTGTAGTTATCCATTTGACAGTTTTCATAATAAAATTAAAGGAAAATATTTCGGTTCATTATCATGGTTGCATTATGTATCTAACACGACCTCAGCTATTTCAATTTTAAAAAACGTTGATTTTTTTAAATTTCAGATTACACTCAAAAATTGAAATTTTGAGTTGAAGACTTGATTTTTTCCTCAAAATGTTAGTCTTTCGACGCTGAAGTCAAATATGTCATTAAAAATATTTCATATCTTAAGGCTGACTTTTAAAAGTCGTTTTAAGAAGTACGAATAGCCCAAAAAGCACGGTTTTCTAGAAAACCCTACTTCCAAGAGTTTTAGAGAAAACTTTCAAAAGAAGAAAAGAAAGAGGACGTTGAGAAACCCTCAAGTACCGATTTTCGTAAAGTTTTGTTCAGTGATTATCGAGATAGCCTAGACCAACTTTCTCGTGTCACACGCTAATTTCGTTATTTCTGAATGAAAACGAGTGAGAGTTTCCCTACGATTGCAGAAAAGAATATTCTGCACCTTTTTATAAGCGCAAACTTTTTTGTGAGGGTGTTCTTCGAGTAGAAACTGATTTCCCAGAAACTCGTAGCTTTCTAGCTATTTTACATGGTCGTTTCCATTTACCCCACTAACTTTCACGTACGTTTCCAATTGCCCCAAATGAGTTTGAAAATTTCTCAGCGTTCACCTTTTTAATCAGAGCTCAGGCTGATTAATGAGTACAGCTTGGGGATTCTCACCATTTGTAGAGCAATAATTGCTCTGTTTACCTGAGCAAAAAATTATTAATTAGTATCATTGGCCTAACGAGAAAACTGTTTTTTACTAATGAATTATTTTCCGTGTAAAATACATGATGTATCCAATTACCCCATCAATTTCTATTGTTGTTTCCAATTGCTCCAAGTGGAGTAATTGGAAATGTTCGTTAGAGCTTTCAGCAAAACACTGGGAAGTTTTCTGCTACCTGTTTCAAAAAAGTTTATTTTCTCAAGAACGAAACAATATTTTCCAAAACCGAAACGTAACTTTTTCCCGCACCTACATTCCCGTACTCAGTTTTTGATGCCAAACCAGGATAAAATAGCAGAAACTTTTAACACGTTTTTAGTTCAGTTTTCTCACTCCTGGATCAAAACTTTGGGCCAGAGATTTCTCATACATTAGCTCAAACTACTTCAATAGATTTCACATTTACTTGTGCGCAGTGTGCAGAGACGAAAGGAAAACAGCATGCCAACTTACCGAATAACGTGTACTTCATGTTGGCAATCGCGAGATCAGGTTTACGGTTCCGGCGATTTCGGCTTTAATTCGATTTAGATCCGAAAAATCCCATTGTTTACATACTTATTTCCTAATATGTCAAAACAACGACTCTGCCGAACTCTACGATCAAATTACCAAATTTACGAAGAAACTGATAACGGTTCAAATCCTCTATAAATCATTGATGACGTTCGATCCTTTAAAATAACGTTAGAATAATCTATGGTCGATCAGCAAAAGAATGTTTCTTTAGTAGTAATGGACAACAGCCTAACCGATTCAATAAACTCTAAACACTTAGAAGTATTGCAAACTGATTGGTCCTGTTAATGCACGCATAAAATCCGACTTCAAGGGATCAAGTGAATCGAAGATGAACGTTACTTGTAAATACAAGTCAGAAGAAACAGAAAAAAAAGTATTGGTTTATTTATAAAAATAACTATTGACAAAAATTTTCACGAATAAAAACATATAAAACCACAGTAAAAAAAATCAATAGTTATACGTTTTTTTAATGTCCTAAGCCTTAATGTATCTTTCGAATCTGATTGGTTTTATTATTTTAACATTTAAAATCTTCTGGTTTAAGTTTGCCTGCAGTTACTGCTTTAACTAAAAAGTCTTGTATGGCATGTTCCATTGCACCGTCTCGACTATATTTTGTTGTTTGACCAACTATACCCGGTGCTTTTTCTTGACATTGAAATTTACCATCCCACTTCCACTCAAATCCGCTAAATCGTCCTTTAATATTACCAACACAATTAATGCCACATATCGTTATTGCCTGATCTGAGCCCCATTGATGTATTTTCCATATTTGTGTACCTATATCCAATATACATGGCATATAGACTCCAGTAAGAACAGTCAAACATGACTGTGGAAAATTAATTTGCTGACTTTGGCATCTTTCATTCAATGTAGATAAGAAAACACCAATCACTAACAATAAATAAATCATATTTCCTCTTACTTTTTGCATATTCTTTACTACGTTTGAGAAAGATATAAAAAAATGTATCATATACAGTTATACTATTATTTTCTGCCTTATATATACATATGCAAGAAAGTTATTGCTTTACGCTGCGTCATTAAATCAACCAACGTTCGTGTTCGGGCTTTTACCCAAAACAAACGAAAATACTTCGTAGGTATAAAAGTATGCTCTCTTAGTTATACTATGAGTCAAGAGAGCGCATGAAAAATATTATAGAAAAAATAAAATTAAAACTGTAATTTTTCTCTTTTTATTTATTATTTCAACTGCCGTAAACGCATCTGTTTTTGTTATTAATTCTGATAAAAATGTTACGTTGTGTGTATTTTTCATAATTTTCTCTGTTTAGAAAGAAAACAGAAAACAAAAGATGAGCCAGATCGGCATATTTATCGTATTTTCTTCAAAAGTTTTTTTGGAAAAATATTACTTTTTCAGTGAAAAGAATCATAAATTCAGTGTGTATGAGTCACTCTTCTCCTGCAGACAGAATCATTAGCACTGATTTTGTTTCTGAGACTTATTCTCATACTCAAATAACACGTACTTCAAGAGAGCGTATGACAAATGTTAAAGAAAAACTAAAGTGTATTTTTACAAAACAAAATACTTTTAGTGCTAACGAGTAATTAGTGAGTAAAAAATGACGATGTTTTCGCGAAAGTTGTCTCATGAGTTGTTCGAGTCTGATAGTATAATAAATCAAATATAACTAGAACAAGCATTCGATAGAGCACACTTTAATGTGTACCAACATTATTTTATCTATTTGCTTGAGATGAGAAATAGTGTTCTAATGTCAAATCTTATAAATCTGCCAGAGATTTATTTTTTCTTTTATATCTGTCATTTTGTTGCTTATTTGTACCGTGTTGCTTCTATAGCTGTCATTAGTTTGTATTCCTGTACTTTAAGTACATCTTAAGTACTTCAAGTATTTTTCTGCTCTTACTTCTTGCCTACTGTTTTATACCCTTGTTCTACTATAATGTCCTGGTCTGAGTCTTTAATAAGCATGATTGTATATTTTTTGTGAAACATAAAGCGTAATCTATATGAGATAAAAAACCTACACAATAGATAAGAGTAACGTAAATGTAAAGTAGTAAAACAATGGAAAAGCATATCTAGTAATGCTAGAATGTTGTGAACATATCAGACCTAGCTGCTATACTCTATGGAATACTATATATCAAGCTCTCGTAGCAAGCAAGCAAGTCCGAGTAAAATATGGTATAATCAGAAATGATCAAATTTTAAATCAGATTTGCATGAGTCTTCTGATTTATATCACATCTATTGTTCTGACTTTCCTGCTTTAACACCATCGAAAGATCTCGAATGTTTTTGGTTGGAGAGAGTTGAAATTGTGGCGGAAAGCTTCTGAAAAATTTTAGCTTGTTAAGTTCGAAACTATTCTAATTAATCTGTATTAATCAAAGGAAAACCAGAAAAATCGTATCGCTGTGACAAAAAACGGTCAAAAATATAGCAGCATTACGGTTTTTCTTTGATTAATACAGATTAATTAGAATAATTTTGAACTTGACAAGCTATCACATCTTGTAGATGTGTTGCAAATAATTTTCTACTAACTGATATACTTGATCAAGTTTCGCCTGCTCGTTTTCACTCTTTTAGACACGTTTTTCAGATAGCTTCCAGATGGATTTTTTTGGCTGTTTGTACAACAGCTGTATTTTCATAACGAATCAATGTTCAGAGCCGAGACACTTTTCATTTTGGAGAGAAATGTTTAATCTACTTAACTATCTGGTTGCAGTTTTAGATTAGATTGTAGTTTTATTGAAATAATGTTTTGAAAATGAGCGAAAAAAGGGAACCGTTAGCTGAACAGGCCGTGGAGACACATAAAAGAAAGAAGAAATATGTGGACCAAAATATCAGGAACGCGAGAAATAAGATCGGGGTTTTAGTTATTTCATATGCTTTAACATATATAAAATAGGAAAATATTTAGAATGGAAGAAGACAGTGAACAATAAGGCGGAAGACTACCGGAAAAATGACAAAATCCCTCTCAAAGACGGCTCTCAGTATGCTATCTTTAATTGATATCGATGTTGAGTTTAAATTTCGCCTTGCTGATGAAAAATGCATTCTGTTTGATCGATTGTCACGTTTTCTTACATCCTAGAACAAGCCTGGTGGTCGACCAGAACGCCATAGAATTACTCCTTGTTTTAATCTATGTTTAGAAATTTCAGCTTTATTAAAAGTTTCGCTTGTTGCGTCAAATGTTGATGTAGAGCGTGGTGCCTTATGGCCTTAAACATGCTTGAACCAGTTAAGGTTAACCGTTCGTACCGTTTAGAATATAAGAGAGAATACAAAATCCAATCACTTATGACTGAACTGGAGATGAATATTTCATCTTGATTGCATCATGTCAACGAAGAGAAAGCCGCATAAAACATAATGAAATCAGCGTTTACGTCCTCAATAAAAGTTATCCCCTAAAGGCAAGATTTTAACTATACAAAATATTTTCACCATGAATGAATATAGTCACTCTGGTGAATATAGTCAGACTAACTAAGACGAATGTCTCAAGCACCAAACCTTTCAATTTAAAACCTACTGTAACGATATGGTTCAACAAAGCCTCAAACATATCGCATATAACTTTTTTTCTTTAAAAGCCTTGCTATCTTACAGTTAAAGTAGAAACAACAAAGATCCTATTTTTTGAGTTAGTTATAAATATTCCTTTTTGCTAATCTTCTCATTTTTTAAAACTTCAGTTCAACATTTCTCCTGATTGAACTCAAGTTTTAAATAATTAAATGAGTTCCTGTTGTTAGTCGTAGTACTATCTGTGATAGTGGAGCTGCTGCGCAAAAACGAAGAAGTTACAGTGAGTGTCACCTATTGAAAATGTTATGCTCACAAGCTTTTACATATATTGGTGTTGTACTCTTCGTTAGTATTACTAGTGTTGTGTTATCATTTGTACCAATAATATTCTCTGTAGTTTGTAATAGATCAGACTACTACTGCTACTCAGTGTCTTAGATAAATGAGAAATCTATATTGTTTTATTCCAGTTGGAATAAACTAGAAAAATAGACGACTGAAGGGTAAGTCTTTCAGTATTGTGTCACCATTACAGTCAGTGTTGTGCAAACGGAGGTACTAACCTCGTTCGATAGAGAATTCGACGCTGATTCCAAATATGTCATCTAAAATTCTTTTAAACATCTACGTATGACCGAAAGATGGCGTTTTTTCGTGTTTTTATGGATTTTTGGAATTTCATTTTCTCTGTAAGCACTGAACTGATTAAGCCAAAACTTTTAGGATATATGCTAGGCACGTGGAAGAACAAATTATGTCATTGCATCAACCCTTGAAAGTGCTCCGATCATCAAGAAGCGCTTGTCTTATGATCATGCAAGAATGTAATAATAAGGTCATTTTGAAATGCCGTTTTCTCTACGAAAGTAACGTCAAAATTCAAAAATTGGTGAATCGTAATCCTTATCACCGAATCTCTCAGAAAATGTAGTTTTCATTCCCATAGGCCTCTTTGGAAAATCTGATGGGAGCCATCTTTAAAAACCCGGTTTTTTTCCGTTTTTGCCAATTTCGTGCCAGAAATTTTATTGAAAAAGGGCTATACTCATGGACCACGGTTGTTCTTTTCGGCTTCTACACATGTTCAAACATATAAATCAGTTGAGAAGCCAATGTCCCGGTTTTTAATTCGCGAGATATAGCTAGTTTAAGTTGGTCGCTATCAGCGCACAATCGGTCAAGTAATATTCAAAAATATCATAGAATATGCAACTCAAAAGTGCCCAAATCTCTTTTTATAGGCAGTTTTTTGATAGCTGTCTTATTATTGAGTTCTTATTTATTCTATCGTCTCCTGGATCAAAATCATTTTTGCGGTTTTTCAATAGACCATTTGGAAACACAATTAACGGTACAGATCTAACCGTATCGTTTAGATTGGGTTTAAATAACGAAATAGATAAGGATTGTTTAATTAACAAGCAATATTCAATATTATCTCTATCTATTATATGCCAGTTGTCCCAGTCTATTTTATAAATACAATATCTGCATGTTTTGTAGAGCTAAGTTATCCGCAAGTGAGATCGTATCATAGTCATCTTCTTTGTGATCAAAAACGTGACGATCAGGAAGATTCATGTTCTTCGTTTGGTTCGTTATTCTTTGTGAGGCTGCTGCTTTCGCTGCTCTCGATAATTACGTTCTTCCTGTTTGAATTACTGGTGCTACACTCTTTTAGGATACCAGAAGGTGAAGCCAGATTAGGTTTTTCCAGTCCATCTTTCCAAAAGCGTCTACATGCTTGTCAGACCGTTTTCCCAACCTAACGGGAATCACAACTTATGTCATGTACCATATTCAACTGTAAATCAGGAAGTACTTTATTTTTAAAATTAAATGAATTCTGAACTGAAATCAGTGGTTTTTTAATAACTGTCAACTGTCAATCAAGCCGAATTCGATTAGTAAATTTCCGTAAATCCTTGCTAAACATTCTGCTGCTACTTTCAACGTCTAAATAAAACCTCTATAGAAATTCTCTATTTCTCGACATCTCTTTTCCTGTTTGTGTTGGGATTTACTTAACTTCATGACAATTAAATTATCGCTAAAAGAGATCGGATAAGCTAATGTTATTTAATTCATCATTCAGTAACCGATATGAATGATAAACATTAACAGTTCGATGAAGCATACCGGTGATAAGGGATCGTTTGTAAGACAACGGTACATTTCTTAATGAGACCGGTAAAGGTGCTCTGTCGAAAAATACTAATTAAATAAATTATGAACGGTGGTTTTATCAA